TTTTTTTTTTTTTTTTTGGGGGGGGTGGGGGATACTTATCACCATCTGAAAACATTTATTAAGCACATGTTGTGAGCAGGACACTGGATATATTCAAAGATGGTTTGGTTTCCAAGCTTATGAATCTAGCTGTATCCATTCAAAGAGGATTCTATTTTCGAGCCTTGGAATTTATGAACATCCTCCATCTATGTTCCATGTCAGTGCATGGAGATGTTCCCAGCTGCCTTAGTGAGAGGGCTTTCATCTTGGTGTGTAGACAACTACATCAAGTAACCCCTCCCAGTTAAAATGGGCCAAGAATATCCCTAAAAACTGATCCTGTTTCAAATTTTGCTAATATCCTTCTGAAATGGTTGGCTATACTCCTATGCAGGAAATACCGAAATAAGTGAAAGATGGTGTGTGCTAAAAGAAGAGACTTCAAAGAATAAATTAACTTTTTTATTGCAAATTAGAAAACAGTAGCTACTTCTATTTTTTCCTTCTGTGTTGCCTAGCAACATAACCAGGAAAATGAGTTGGCTTCCCCCATCTCAATACACACATGCACACACACATATATATGCTTCTTACCCCTTTTAAAGTAGAGGAATGTAAAAATGTTTTTTTAAAGGAATATTGAGAAATTTGCCTTCTTTACAAAATAAAATCTATATTTTACTTGTATTGCAATTTAATCAGCTTTTTTTTCTTAAAATCATGTTTATATGTTACTTCTTCTAATGTTTTTAAATAGTCTTTAAAAATGAAGAGTCTGCATAAACATATTTGTGGCACAAAGTAGCTCCCCTCCCCCAATTTTTCTAACACTGTTACTTAAATGTCTGTCTAGAAGTTTCTGAATAGTCACAGAATGGGCTCCTGGAGGCTCTTCTCCCATCCATGAACTTTTCTTGGTCCCATTTCTTAAAACATCAGGGCAAAAATACGTTGTGTTGTGTAGGTTGAATGAAGCTCCCCTTTATACTCCCACATCACTGACTTTAGTAGATTATCTGATCAGTCAGATGATGTGAGGAGTGGGTGGTACAAAATGGGGGGGGGGGGGGCAATGTAGACTCTCTCTGCAGATCTGAGCTGGTTGCTTGGCTACCAACAGAGATCTAATAGCAGAAAAGGGCAGGAGGGAAGAAGCGGGGTGGTGACGAGCAAGTGGATGGGGGCCAGGGAAGGAGCATTGGGAAAGGGTGGGGGTAATTATGCATCCTTCCTATCATCCAAACATAAAATTTTGAGAAGGCAGTGTTTGTTGGGTTTATACTCTGTGTAAATGCAACACCTGAGTTGCTGCTCTGGGACAAGAATATGCTGAATGCCTTCAGGGGCTCGTGCTAAATTATTTTATGAGGTAAGCACATTCCTCTTATACCCAGAATGGGAAGGAAAATGTTCATGGAAGAATTGCCTAGACACAGAGTGGCCAAGTTGGTCTTGAAGACCTCTGGGGCCAGAGCTTAACTGGACGTGGCAAGCAAAAGTGTACAAATAGATTAGGCAACTTTTTTTTTCTGGCTGATAAGGTGACATCTGCATCATTTTGTCTATGTAGATGGTTTCTCTGTTGTTATCTTTCCTCTTCTCTAAAGCTGGTGACTTTAGAAGGTCTAATTATATTAGAAACCAAGGATGCCCATTCAGGGTTGCTCCTAGGAGAGCAACGGGGCACCCACGAAAGCCAAGTAAACGAATCTGTACCGCCCTTCATCTTACAGGACCTGTATCGCCCCCTCTCATCGGATGATTTGGACTCAGTAGGAGACTCAGTGTAAAAGACACATGGAGCAATGTATATGGTTTGTGATTGGGTGAAGGTTCACGTTTCCTAAGCAAAAGTCTAACAGCAAAATACACAAAAGAGTTTTGCATACTTTAAAATAGTAAAAACCAAATCATACAAAATACAATACATTTTAAATTTTAAATTCATGATATTTGTCCTTGAAGGAAAGATTTTTTAAAAAAATATCTCCTCCATTTGATTTGAGTAGAGGGAGTTTCAACACAATATTGCTCAATTGCAATTTTTGTGTGAGACCTGGCTGTAGATAAATTTCATATATGGACCCAATATTGAATACAGGAATATACTAACAATGTAGTATTATAAAGTCATCGTTTCCACAGATATAGCTTTCTTTTTAATTGTAAGAAGATATATATATATATATATATATATATATATATATATATATACACATTTTTTTTCTGTACTTATTGTAAAGCAGATCGAAATGGCACTAGCAAACATGTTTTTTCCTTAAAGTTGTATTCTTTTTCAAATTTGGATGACTGGTTTTTTAGAGCTACTTTTATTATAAAATAATGAAAATATTCATTTTTTTTCTTTATAAATGGAAAAAGCTTCTTATTATTTTGTGGGTTAATATATCTAAGGGGAAAAAACTCATGTCAAGGGCATATCGCTTGAAGATTACCATTGGACATTAGGAACTTGTTTTTGTCAAATAAATTTTATTTTTTTAAAGTTGTCTTTTATTGGAAACAACATAAATATAGCTTAATCTGTATGGAAATATGAAGAACTTATTCAATGGCATTGCTATAAATGATATAATTCTTCCTTACAACTATATATGTGATTTTAAATGTATAAAGCCTGCAGTTAGGATTTTTTTTTCTTTTAACACACAGACCTTTAAAAAAATGCCTAGACTTTAAAAACAAATTCATTTTGAGAGTAAAAATTCCCTGAAATGGTGCTGTATAAATTAAGCCAAAAATATCTAATTGTTCATTTTGATAAAACCTGAATTTTGCTGTTGTTTTGGAAATGTTCGTATGCAAAACTCCTTTTGTGTTATACCAAGTAAATCTATGATTATAACCCATTGTCAAACATTAACCTACTAATTCTGCTCTCAGTCTTCTATTTTAAAAATTATAGTCAGCTTTGCTTAAATATAAAACAATTATTTTAAAACCTGAATGTTAGAAATTAATTTAGTGTGTATGGTCTATTATGTGTAAGCCATATCCTGTGATCATTTACTTTTACTAGTTCAAACACTAACAATTTTAGACTTAGAAAGCATGGTTTTGATATTCTCCAGGCTTGACATATCTCAGTAGGTGATAAATTTAAAATGTATTATGCCGTTTGGGGGATTTTACTTGAAATTTTTTTTTTCAAATTTTACTTCAAAACAATTTTCAAACATTTGATTCAAGATGGAGAGAAATTCAGTTGTCATACACTGTTTTAA